TTGCTGCCATTTGGAATAACTGCATATCTATGTTATCAGTCACATTGTTTTTGCTTTCATCGACAAGAAGATCAAACACTTTCACACTTTCGGATCTAACGGCAGTCAATAGAGAAGTAAGCTTTCCTTAAGACAAGCTGAAAATATGTAATGATTTATCTTTGCATTTGGTTTTATTTCCTGGAAGCATGTAAACAAAAGTACTACACACACAATACTATTTTAACGACGTTATATGAATGTTCCTCTGATTTTCTACGAGACCGTGTCCCATTTGATTTAGTCCATTAAATGATTTCAACAAAGTGATCGGATAAAACGGCTGAAACAACGGAAGAAATATCATATTAATTTAGAATGACTTAACACAAATGAAGGAATGCGTTTTCTTTGAAAGGGTTTATGTTCTGTATTTAGAGAGTGGAAGAGAGAGAGAAAAAATCAAAATTTGTCTTACTATGATTACATTGACACCAAACAACAAAAATGTCGTCGTTAATTGATTAAATAAAAATAACTGTCAAATAATATCAAAACTGCAATTCAAAACACAAAATATGACCCCTCATTATCATCAAATTATTACCAGGTTATCAGAATGACGATTTATTGTCTGTTCATAATTTGTACATAACTAATTAATTCAACTTTATGGGTTGTGGGGTTTTGGCGTGTGGGGTTTTGTTCTACATTCTTAGTTATTTCCTAGCAGCGTCATTTCTAACCAGTCTCATGAATTGTTTACATTTTGCAGGAGTCAACTTGGCGATTAAACTTATAAAATATCTAAATTCTTGGATATAAGCTTATACAAACAAATAACTGCTTTGCCCAGGGACGGGACCTACATTGGCCCCAGAGGCATGATAAGCATCACTCTGGACAAGTCTGCAAGGCGATGCTACATACAAAATGCATTAAGATTTGTGCTTTTTACCTTGGGCATGGACAATTTTTATCAAAAAAAACCTGCTTTCTGCTCATTGTCTCATTTTTATATTAATTTTACTTTTTTGCTAAATACAATTTTTATCGGTTCAAAACATAAAGAGCAGACACGAAAATTTGAAATTATTACATAAATAAATAAGTGTGATCTTGCACTTAACATGAGGAAATATGCGTATTGCTTATCGTTTCATGATAGTAAATAGTTCTGCTAAGTGGTTTTAGTTTCCTTTCAGCGGGTACACAACGTTTTTGTTAAAGACATATCAAGTATGTCAAAACTAAATTCGATTATATGTCTGCGGTAAAATTGCCGAAAGAAAACTTGCCTTTTGCAACTGTGAAAAACTTCCAATATTGTTTGTAAGTAGTATCAATAAAATATATTATGATTAATTTTCATATTGCTCAAAGCTGTCTTTAAAATCTGATTCGGTAAGAAACGCGATTGTGTTATTCGTATTGAAGGTTACAAATGATAAGTCCCTACTCTGACCTTTTATTTGAATAAGAATAGATTTAACCACAAATATTAACATGTGATCTTTTTTTAACAAATATGGGGTTGTGATATTCTAATTGTATCTACTAATCTGAATAGACCTGTCAGGGATATATGCATTGGTATCAAATTATCTGGATCTATTATACACTGACACAATTTCAATACCGATACCAAATCTACGATCAAATAAATACCCATTTAAACCCCTTAATCGCATGGTTAATGTTTAACCGCGCGTTCAGCAAGATAAATGTTGTTTTTAATGATTTCATTGTTATAATTTTCTTATAGTGAGTTGGTATTATTGATGTCAAATAACATTGGCACTCATGTAGGTTTTTAACAATACTATCATTTAATGCTATACCATGAGACGGAATTCGACTTAACTTACATTTCAACTTAGTTTGTATAATAAAATATGTTAAACTGAAGATAGCTACAATTATTAATGAGAAAAAATCTTATATATGGAGAAATGTTTCAGATTTTGACGTTTTATAAACTTACCCGTTTAATTTCAAGAACAATTATTATAGTATAAGTGCTCAGGAAATGTAATGTTAAGTGTGCGATGGACTGAACGAAGAGTGTTATACGCTTTGTTTAAAAATGTTACCACTTAAAAGCAAGCAAAAACGGCAGTAATTCAAATACTAACAAGAGCACCGCTAGGCGGATCATTATATGCCCGAAAGTGTTTTTTTTTTAGTTAGGATGAAGCATTTGTAAGACATTACATAAATTATTACCTCCTTCAAATAGCAATCCTTCAATAAAGTTTAACTATTGTGGGCCAAATGGAACTAAAGTTATGATCTGGAAACTTTTTTCAGTCTTGAAGTAATAGCGACCTTGAACTTTGACCTTGTGACCCCAAAATTAATAGGGGTTTCTACCCAATATCAATAGGAGTCTTCTAACCAATATGGACAATCATCCTATGAAATTTGAATATTGTGGGCTAAATGGAACTTAAGTTATGCTCCGGAAACCAAATTGCTAACGGACGGACAGACAGACGGATAGACAGACAGACGCCAGGGTTTAGAACATAATATGGCCGAAATTTTGTTTGGGCATATAAAAACAAATAGAAAATAAATATAGAAGAGTTATCCCAAAACGTATGAACAAATATCATGACAAACGTTTATCGACGTATGTTTTCCTTCTATAAAACCTCACTCAGACTTTATTTCTTTCGCATAAGTTCTCACTCAGTAAAATCGACAACTTTTACCTAACTTTAGGTAATCTTACACTGTTCTAGGTCAGAAATAACAATAAATATAACAATATCTTTCATCATATGTATACATGATAATAATGTAGCATATACAAATCGAACTTTAATTATCAACAAAATGTATAAAGAAAACCGGTTATGTCTCCTCTATGTCCTTTAGATAATATCTACATAGAACATATCTATTCTATTTTGTTATGCATTGACTTCACAAAATTGAGCCTTTTGTATAACATAAGATCACATGTGTCAGCAAATTTTCATAACAGCACGGTAGGTTAAATAATTACCTGTTTCGTAGTCTTAATTTATGACCCATTAGATCATTATGAAAGACATACGTTGGCAATGTTTGAATACTAACAATATTCTAAATATAGCGTAACCTTTAAATACGTATCAGTAAACACATACAAAAACATTCAATTTTAAATTTTGATTTGCGAGCTTATTCAAAAACTATCAATGTTAAATTTTGATTTGCGAGCGCGACTATACTTGCAATTGAAAATATCACATTATTGAAGATTTTCGTGTTAACCAATACCTTTTCGGACCAAATATGATCATGGATTTTGCTTCGTTTTTAAATTATTAAGTTATTTTAAAGTGTCTTTCATTCGACCCTTAATAGTTGACGTAGTGTTAAACCGTTCGGAACACATTTTAAAAAAAGTTTATTTTATTCATACCGATATTTTAATAAATAAAGCTCTGGTCATGGATGTCCTTTTATCACATCTTAATAACTTTTTTCAGGTCAGTTTGAGAAAACAAAATTGGCGGCAGTCATACACGATAGATAAAGAGCGGGTTGCTTTTATCTGATAAAAAGTTCAAGAGTTTTAAAATTTGTTTTACCTGAGTGTGCGAATTAATAAAAAGCAAAATGACAATTTTAATGTCAGACATTGTTTTATAACTTATTTGCGATTTCTTGTTATTTCCTAGTCTTTAACATATTGTATGAAAAGAAATCACCATTTCCATCTTCATACTAAACATTGTTCTCATTAGCAGCCGTAGCAGCAATAACAGCAGCAATTTCAAGATCTTTATTATATCTGTCTCGCAAGTCTAAATTTTGCTCGAGATCATTAACTACCTATTTGCGGGTTTTCTTCTATCGTTTCTTAACCTTGAATATATATTTCTTTTAAACTTTGGCCGTAAAGATAATTTAAGAAATATCCAACGCGAGCTATTGAACGCGAGGCATACAATTGTGAACGACACAATTGAATACAGTATTTTTTCCGTTACTATCAATATTTAAAAATGCATATTTTTGTCACAAACAAATTATATTGATTAAATATTTAACGAATATAGCCTGCCTCGGAAAGGTATTTCTTATTCTTGTTGGAACAGAATTCTGCTGACGCTTGTGGTCCGTGTGATTTACAATAGGAGCTTTTAGAATTTGTATCATAACAATGGAGGGAATAACTAATTAAATTAGATGTTAACAATTTTTATACTTTGTAAAGGAAATATAGGTGAGATAACAGCAGCAGTTCAATTGTGTGTTGTTTTAGTTAAGCTTGGATGCAAGATTATGTACCATTTATTGCAATTATAGGCCTAGTATAATTTGATAAAACCTTTATATCAAAGGAAGTCTGCTAAAGTTTTTTTGACATGAAGGAACGGGACACAAAATTTTCAAGAATTTTGTACCATTTCATGTAGGTATGGACGTAAAATTTCAAATCATCCCCTTACTCCGTTTTTACAGAATATTTATATTTATTGTTCAAATTATCAAAACCCTGAAAAGCGATTGAAACCGGGCAAAACACGTGTAAAATCGATTTTCTTTTTTTATTCTGAGCATATTTCTTTATTTCTGTTTCCTAGATTATTCTATTTTAGTTCAACATTTGATCTATGCAAAAATTTCAAATTTTATGTGTTAAGGATGTTTGACCTCGGTGGAGCTCTTTTAAGTTTAACGTGGATATTTTCGAGTTTATACAATGTTTCGTCATTGTTTAACATGATTTTGAGCTTGCTAGTTATTTTCTGAAAGAAAAAGATGGAAATTTTCAAAACGAAATCAGTATTGGATCCAGTCTTTTCGATTTTATCTCGTTTTCATCTTTAAAGTTAAAAAGAAAATTATTAAGTATGAATTGATTTTTGCTTGAGTTTGTATCTTAAGAGTTCCATAGAATATATTTTCAAAACAAAAATTGCTTAATGCTTGGTAATACATGAATGGTAATCAGCATTAATACTACTTTAATATATCATAACATATCATTAAATATCTTTAATTATCTCTTTGTATTACAGTTGTTGTTGTTGCTGCTGCAGTCATCTTTTCCATGTGGATTTGTTCAAGAAAGTGGCAAAGAAATGTTTCGAGGAAAAGTGCATCCTGAAGAAAAACAGGTTAGGATGTGAAATTCGTTTTCATTACAATGAAAATACCTGATGTTTGTGTTACGCACTACAAATGTCTTAATCATTTAAATAAAAAGAATATTTCCAAATACAACGTATGAACTAAATACTTGAGATTATGTTCTTTAAGCTTACAGGTTCCTACACAAACAAACTCAAATAAATTCTTGATGACATAAGCTCAGGACAAAGGTCTAGGATGATAAATAAAAAAAAAGCAAAGAAGAGTTTCAAAGATAAAGGATTTAATTTAAGCTTTGCATATCGTGCATTTAATAGATGCTTAAAGGTCATTGAGACCGATTACATGTTATTTTGTTATGCCCTTTGATCAAGGGAATAATTATTTTTCTTTTATTAGCGCATGCATGGATCGGGGAGTTTGCAAATAAGCATACCTTCATATCTGTGTTTGAACCGGTACATGGACATATTAGGGTTTTAACAGTTTTTAAAGATTAGTTTTCAGAAATTCAAAATTAAAACTTTTATAAGAGAGTTCTTTTGTATTTTCCGAGGATTTCAAGATAGTCAGTATGATATTCAGATTGTTTTAATTAGTACGGGTGTCGCGTTATTATCATAAGCTTGGTAATATTACCACGCGTGTTACGTGACAATGTAATAATCACACGGTTAGGAGAAGTTCTGTAATAGTCATCCGTACGGTTTTAGAAACACTCCAAATAATTTAAATTATCTACAAATAAAATCGAAAAGAAATTCTGAAGCAAATGGTACAAATATTGTGCGAATGTGATGCATGGGAACAGTAAAATCACAAAGATGAATGGATAAATTTATAATTACGGCCGAGAAAATGCAACATTTATTGAACGAAATCGATAACTTGAGTTAAGAATACGACCTTATTATCCTATGAAAACTCAAGTACTATTTATTAAAAAAGGAAGAAACAAAAGTCGAGCTATCGAATTGACACCAATTTCTTAAAATTAATGTAAGAAAACGCCTGAAATTTTAGGCATTACTTTTTACAACTGCTTAACATGAAAAAGTCATATAGATAAAGTAATAATGCGGTGCAAAAAGATATTAATATTATGATATCAATCAGATTAGATTTGCAACGGGATAAATGCATACTTAAGTTCTGGACAGGCACGGTCAGCCCAAATACGCCGGAATTAGATCTGCAACGAATAAAATACACACTATAGTAACAGGCATGTACGGTCAATCAAGTGTAGTACTTACAAATGAATTATTATAGTAAAATAGGTTAAAATCCATATTCCTACAAAAATATTAAGAAAAAAAACCTTAGGCGCATAATGAAGTTCAATTAGTTCGGGAATATAGTTTGTACATATATAGTTAGTAAAACCATGCTTTAAGATAGTCATTGATTTTTTCCCAAAGTGATATTGATTTTCATGTGTTCGTCTTACAAATGAATTATTATAGTACAATAGGTTAAAATCCATATTCCTACAAAAATAATAAGAAAAAAACCTTACGCGCATAATGAAGTTCAATTCTTTCGGGAAAATAACTTGTAGATAAATCGATAGTAAAACCATGCTATAAGAAAGTCATTGATTTTCCAAAAGTGATATTGATTTACCGTTCACAAGCAGAACAAATAAAACGAAACCAAAAACAGACAGTTACTTCGAAAAATAACGCGGACCATCATCATATTTACACAGACCGCTGTAAACACCCAGATGCTGAAAATGCGGAAATGGTTGAATTTGAGTGACAAAACCAGAAAAAAAAGAAATACGCCTCCATATATATACTTGCCATATAGTGTATAATTATACTGCAATGTTATTACTTTATAGTAACCTTAACATTACCGGTTCAATGATCATATAATTATTGGATACGATCTTATGTTTGGATATTTCATACTGAATCCTGAGATCGATTAATATGTTTTTCTAAATGACTTGTAATAAACGTTTCTAGGATTATAAAAGGAAATATTTCTTATAAATCCTAATACAACTAAGTGTCAATGAAAACAGCAGTCTTTCATTATTATGGTCAGAGTCACATTGATTTAGCCTAAATTCCATAAATAAGCGATTTAAATTGGCTTGTTGATAAGACAATAGTTGAGTTCAAATCCTGAGTACGAGGAGTCAATTGTCAAAAACATTATGTATGGCCATGGTTGAATGATTCGAAATTACTGAATTTTTCATGAGCATTTAAATCAGAAAATCACAAAGATGAATGGATAAATCTATAATTACATATAATTGGTAATATAACTATACAAACATAAAGGAAAACTAGGTTAAGGAAAAACTGTTCAAATTATTTTTAAATTCAAGTACAAGTATTAGGAGTACAATTATTATGTTGGGTTTTTTCGTTGTTGTTGTTGTTGTTTTGGGGTTGTTTTTTCATCTTTTATACGCTCTGTAAATTCTTAGTGATGAAATATAGTTGCTATTATTAAAATTTATTAAATACTGCCATATAGAAAATAAATTTATTATAAATTATCAGAAGTTACATCTGGTAACTGTTTCAAACTTTTTTGTCTTAACTTGTAATTACATCAGAATGAATTGTGAAAGTTGAAAGAGAATTAAACATATAAGCTGACCGGATAAGAAGATTCTCCCAAATAGTGAGATTCAAACATGTGATCTCCAAATGAGGAGTCTGATTCATTCTCTGCCCCAATACTGTCACACTTTCATCATAAGCAACAGAAAACAGCTATTGAACTATAAAAATTATAATTGTTTGCAGATTTTGTTTCAGGCTCCTACACTACAGGGAGTTTATAAGATTTCACCAGGGTGTATGATAAATATTCCAGTAAGTATATTTTACTAGTTTTTCCAAAGAAATCATGAGTCAATCTTTTCACTAACAAGACAAGTATTTGATATAATATTATATTTATATATTATTATATTTATATATAATATAATCTACAAGCACTGGATCTGTGAATGCTTTCTTCTTAATAGTTTCTCAAAGTGCTTAATAACATTTTTAACTGAATATGTTGTGTGAAACTACCCGTACGAAATGCAACGGAATTATCACACGAATTCCGCTCGGAAGTACAGTTATCAGGACACGTCAAATAAAAAGCATATTCTGGGCGGGGTCAATGCAGAATCGGGAGGGACTTTGGCACGAAGTATGTAAATGAGTAGAAAATGTGTACATGTGGAAAAACTAACAAAGATTCAAGGCAGAATCTTGGCACGGAATCTGGGCAGAATCTAGGCATGGCATTTTAGCGGAATCTAGGCACGGAACGGAGCCAAAATTCTGTATAAAAATATGTTTCACTAATTTTGGATGTATACTTTTTCATCGACCTTTTGCGTGACAATTAAACTTTTAATAACTGGTTAAACAATTATATTTAAACTAGCTTTAACTAGCAGAGGTAACAAGTGTGCATCCGAATTTATTTGTTTTTAATACTTTATTTAATATTCTTATAGTAAACTTCTGTAAAAGTTTATGGGTGTATGTTTATATGATTACTCTCAACAAAATCAATTCTTATTGTATTATAATAACCCAACTTTAACATAAAAAATATCTCATTTTATTTTTCTTCATAAATAAACATCCTTATGTTTACATACAGAATACATCAAACATTCACTTTAACATAACAGCTTTTCAACAAACAAGTATTTGTAGATACTGCTGCTTTCTTTGTATTGATCACCTTGTTTTCAACTATTATATTGCACTTAATCTGTCAGAAACCATAAATTCCTTCGAATTCATTCACGATGATCATTAAAATCTAAATTTTGGTTCAATATGTCAGCTTCAGTCCTTTGCAAGTGTTTCCTGTGGTCAAGTCTTGGGGTTGTGTTCATCTTCAAGGACAAAATTTACGCTTACTTTAAAGAGATTGAAAACAATACAATTGTTTCATATTATCTCATACATTGTTGAAACACAGTACTCAAGCAAATTCACATTCAAATAAACTAAGGCTGTATTGGTTTTAGTCACTTGTGATGTTAAAGATTCATGCTTTTTTATGATTAATTAAGTAATTACACAATTGATGACAAAATTGATGCTCTTTTTTGCAAGGAAACGTGTTCTCTAAGAGCGGTTTGCTAGATGTTTAAATATATATCTTTTCAGACTCCAAGATAGCTGGTCAACTTAAATACTTTATTTACTTAATTTTCACAGTCTATAACAGCCCCGGTCTGCAATTATATTCTTATAATTTCAATTGTATGTAATATAACCCCAGGTCTTTAAATTGAAGAATACATAATTTATTGATAATAACCCTACAAACAAATCATTTTGGCAATAAATATTGATGTATGTCAATAATCATTCACAGCATGTAGTTTAAAAACTAATTTTACAACCTTATTTTAAAGTAACATTTCTTTGCTTGCTACCAAAATATAATATGATTGTTTAAAATAACTTGTTTCGCCATAAACTTGTCTAAAAATTAGGAAATTGTTTACTATGATTCCTTTGCATATCTTCTTGCTTCAGGTCATTCTCAATTCCATTCCGTTCAGATTCTTGTCACACTTAGATAAATATTATTTTTGAAATTTCCAAAATATGCACCCTAACATTTTAAGCAAATAATATCTCCAAATTGCTTTGGTCTTGGTGAAAAAGTCGTCTTAAAAATAACAACGTCACAAACTTGAAAAATTTGGTTTGTGGTCCCTATCGACCGTTTGTATTCTGATGAGGTCAGATACTCGTGTTTCCAACGGCGCCAGTATTAATAAATTAACTCCTCACGTTGTCTAGCACATTGCCGAACAGTCGCTGTTGTATCGTCAGTAAACTAGAATGGTAGAGTTGCCAGTCTGCATCCATGCAGTAAGTGTGAAGGTGTTAGGGGCTCTGGACCATCTCTAGCAGATGAAACGTTGGTAATTAGTTGGTCATTCAGCATTGCTCTATTTCCGTAACTTTTGTCTGGAGGCTTGAGCTTGGCCAATTATATTTTGATCGCTGTCTTCATTACACCAATAGACGCTCCAAGGAGCTTTTTATACTGCCAATATGTTGCTCTTTCCGTAAGGGCAGTTTGGAGATTTTGAGAATTGTAGAGTTGACTGATTTGATTGGTTACTGCATTGTGGTATCATCAGTATTGGTAGTGATCGTCTGCTAATAATTTATCTTAAAGCTAACATAAAAAAAAACATCGCAAAGATCAGGAACTAATTCAAAGAGTACAACGCATGTTTTGTCTGTTGGACAAGTGTATTGATTTCTTCTACTCTGTTAAACATGAAACGTTTCAGTGTATTTGTATTTGACTGTCGGATCAACATGTGATTTTAATGCACTTGACTGCAAATGGCCACATGTTGGTTGACACTTGCACCGATGAGTGCTGCAATCAGTTCTTGTATGGGTAAAGTTATCTCTTTGACAGGTTCGATTCTGTTCTTTGCGAATATAAGAATAGATATGTGAACGAAAGTAAGATACGCTACCGCCCATAAGCACGTGTAATTGTATCAACAAACACGTGTAAACTAATATCTGCGGAACTTGATTTATAATTAGTGTTGGGCAAATTTGTCTCCGGACTTTTGTCATATTTGCGCTGTCCATGTCATTGCTTATAACTGTCAATGTGTTTGTTATATTAGCCAGAAGTGGTAATGCCTAGTCGAAAATCTTGTTCCATAGTTCATGAACTAGTTTGGTACGAACAGTTACTAGTCTTAGAAATACCAAAGGGTTCTAATATAACCTTGAAATCAGTTTGAAAATGGAATGTTAGTGTGTTCTCTCAGAGTGTACCATTGTGCGCTGTACAAACGAAATGTCGTTAACATCCTGATCCCCTAGCATTTGTAATACCTTCACAACATTATCGTTTTCTAAGATATGTTCAGTTAGTCTGACAGTCCATGTCGTTTACTAGAGTTTGAAGTTCACTATCGTAGACGGAATCCTACTTCATAAACGAGAGTACGTGCGTACCTGGAAAAGGTAAGAATATCTCTCTTTTTTTGGGACATGAAAGAACATTGTCGACGTATAGGTCTCTGGTAATAATTTCAGTGGCAGGGTTACTTGCATTCAGGGTCATGTGTTTTAGCAATGTAGTATTGAGGATAAACGGAGCTCCAAACAAATAAATAAAAAAAAACAATTCGCAAGCTGGCTCTTGGGATCTGTAGGGTCTGATAACCATAGAAAATCTCATTACATCTCTGTCATTTTCGTGCATATTGCATTACTATCAAGACAAGACGGGCGATGTTGAAATTTTCTTTACTCCATTATTGGGTATTAACTGTACGTGTTTTTCTGTAGAACTTTAATATTCTCTTTCAATGGAACCTCGTTGTTTTTTTTCCTGTATTATTTCGTTTCATTTCATCGACAATAAGTGCTTTTGACTCAAGCGTTTTATTGTACACTTTGTTGTTTATTTGCTATGTCACAGTTCGAGGGAAAAGGCTGATGGCTCTGTTTTCATGGCAACATTGCTGTGTAATATCCGTCTGAGAATGAAATGCCCTTTTTTCTGGTACTGTTGTTGATGAGAAGGGGCATCGGTATCTTCACAGTCTCCTTTTTTAGTACCTATAGATTATATATTCCAAAATCGAGTGAGGTGTGTCGATGTGTTTCAGATACATGGGTTGCTAAGACGCCCATTGCATTGAATGAAGTAGGCCGGACAAGAAGTAACCAATTTGTGAACTTACAGCAATGGGTCAATCACCCCTGATAATCTTGTCGCCAACTGTCTGCCAGAAAAAGGTGTGAAGATCCCCGCCAACTTAGAGTGATATTTCAAATGTGGTATTCGTGGTAACAGGGTCAGCAAGTCTGAGTCCTTATTGCTCCGCGCCACAGGCGTTAAGCTATTTGTGTTTACTATTTTTGTGTCCATGGACCCGATTTTTATCAATTAATCCCTTTGATTTACCGCTAAAAATATGTTCGGAAGCAAGAATTCCTTCCGATGTCTATTATGTAAAGTCGTATTTTGGTTTCCCCTTTGGTGATTCGCAGCATGCTATATTAATTAATGAATGAGAAGGGGAACAAATTTCAAGTATAAAAAGCAGTATTAAAGACAAAGAAATGCACTTAAATTCGGTAATTTATTTCTTACATTTGTATCATCTACAGGAAATTTCTAATTATTTTGTTGTACACAGTGGGTTGTGTACATGTATGTATTTATTGCTGTACTTTGATTCGAAAGCTTTAAATAGATTTGACCGTACCATTATGAAAGTCCGAAAATATCTTTATAGAAGTAGTTTAACGCTCATTTTTGTCGCGCTATGGTTATAAATAACAAACTGGAGAGTTTTGCAGAAAATGAAATGCAAACACATTCAACCATAAATTGCACTCTTTATCAATTTATCAAAAAACAAGAATGTCGAACGACACATATACCCCCCTTTCTAGCCATTGACTCACATAATTGGATAATTTTATTACAGAAACTTGCCAAAAATTGGTACATGGTGTTCAATTATGGAAAAATCAACGAAAGCCATTTTGACATTAAAGGCCCCTGTGACCTTGACCTTTGACCTAGTGACCCCAAAATCAATAGGGGTCATCTACTAGTTATGACCAATCACTATGTGAAATATGAAGACTTTGTAATACATACTTTTCAAGATAATCAGCAGAAACCATTTTGACATTTAAGGCCCCTGTGACCTTGACCTTTGACCTATTGACCCCAAAATCAATAGAGGTCATCTACTAGTGATGACCAATCACTATGTGAAATATGAAGACTTTGTGATACACACTTTTCAAGATAATCAGCGGAAACCATTTTGACATTTAAGGCC